TTGCCCAGGACAAAAGTGCCAGAGCCAACGAAGTACCAGCACTTGGTGGGGCTCTTCCTTTGCTGACATCCTTCTGGGGAACACGCCTGGCTCTGTGGCCCCAAGAAACGCCTGCCTTCTCTGAAGGGGGGTGGCGAGGACCAGATTGCCGGGATGCTCTGTGCTGCTCCACGGTGTGCGTGGGCTGGAGGGCTGGGCCTCCCAGCCCCAAGGTCAGAGCTCCTTCCCTGTAGGATATGTAGGAATCGCACGGCTCTCTAGCCATGGGCGAAGTCTGACTTGTCTTTCACATGTCGTCTGAGCTGTGTCGTTGTGTCCCTTTACTGATATAACCACCTAGGACACCTCAGATGAGGTTTGGAGATACACCTTTTCTTCAGTCACTTCGTATTTTGCTGGAATTTTTTTTTTTTTTCAACCTCCATGCGAATACTACAATACACAGCAGCACTCTCCCCTGCTCTTGCCCCCCTCCAGCAAAAGGCTGGCTGTAGAAGCTGCGCAGTGCTGATCTGGTCCTTATCAGATAGTAACATATACATGTATTTGTGTGGGACAACAACAGCCACAAGGGAAAAAAAGAAAAGGGTTTTAAGTGATGAGCTGAGGTTTTGCTTACAGTAAGAGAAGGAACAGAGCTCTCTTGTAATTTAAATGCTTGGGAAAAAATCCTGCTTTGGCCAGGAAAGTCAAAGCCTAGCTGTTCACTTACAGGCAGTGCAAGGGAGGCTTTAAATATTTCGATGTCCTCGTCAATAGGTATTTCACTAGGGGAGAGGACTCGAGCATGTCGGTAGTAGATCTGGGTGGTTAAAGCTGTACGTTTGAAATACATTTTCCTAAAACAATCTAAAGAGCTATACATGAGCGCGGCTCCTCTGACGTGAGGTGCTTCAGCCCAGCTGCGGGTCAGCCACGCTGGACATCGGCACGGCCCCAGCCACGGAAACTTAGAATTGGGACTTTGGAGGGAGCAGCAAGCAAAAGGTGGTAACAGCTCCGCCACGCTGCTGTTTCCGCGGGCACCTCGTGCGTTTTGCGGGATCGATGCAGAAAAGGGTCGAAGGTGCGGAGCGACGGCGTGAGTGCGTGCGACGATCCTGAGAGAAAAGATAATTCTGGAGCACGAAACAGAGGGATGAATATCAAGAGGGGAACATCCAGCTGCAGGTCCTTTCCCCTTCTTTTCTTCAGCTTTTGGGTGAACTGCAAAGCTGAGGGGGACTGTTAACTGCCGGGGCCTGTCCATTTGTCTCTCTCTTCACTTCTCGGTCCCTAACCCCCGCTCCCTCTCCCCTCCCGCAGCTCCGGAGGGTGGAGGTGCGATTCGCTATGCCAGTTTTTTATTTCCAGCACGCTTGACAGGCTGGGCGAGGAAGGCGTTAATGTTTTCTGACAGGCCCCCTCTAATTGTTGGAGCTTTTCTTCTCTGCCTTTTCTGTGAAATTCTGACTTAGGCGAGCAGCATAACAAAATGCTCTGGCATTGAAATGTGCGCTTGCACTACACTGGGCTCGGGGAAACAGCATTATTCATGAAGATTTTCAGCTGTTTTTGTCTTTTAACTAACCTTTGAGTTTGATCAGAGGCTAGCCGGGCTCCCTTTCTCAAAAGGCGGTCTTGGCAACCCGACAATGGAGCCAAACTGTTTTCCCTGTTAAAGAGATAACTATGCCGTTGAGTTGGTACATGGGGGAAATTAATCTTCAGGCGCATACAAATGATAGCTTTACCTCGGTCTGCAATCGCCTGCGTGGGATTATTAATAGGACGGGGGTAAGGAGCAGGAGAAATTCAGTCTGGGGTAGGGAACTTTCAAAAAAAAAAAAAAAAAAAATCCCAACCCCAAACCCATCATCCCTTTTGATCGCATAAAGCCTGCGATTGATTCCTCACCACTTGCCTTTTGCAGCAGGAATTAGCCCCGCATTGTGCGGGCTGACACGCTAAAAGCGAGCTCGCTTGGGAGCAAGAAGTTGCTTTGCGCTGGGCCGGACCGGG